CAGGGCCTTCTGACTGACAGATCACTCTCTTCACTACAACATTATGCCGCTTGTTGGAGTGCCCTTCATCAAGCATCGTCTGAGTGATCTCATCTTCTGTCTCCCCCACACACGGTCCCCAAAACCAGCTGCTTCTCACTGGCATTTCAAAGCTTCCAAATCCATACATGCACACAGCAAAACTCACAGGAGATGTGCTGCATTTCATTTGCTATCGAGGGGGCGGATTGGAGATAGATTGAGTTATATCCTAAGTGCATTGTGTCAAAGCTGTGGGCTGAAGGTGAAGGGCATTGAGTGAGAGCTTTTAAACTGACTAACATGCATTAAAAATTAAAAGAAACACCGTGGGTGGGTGGCTCAGAAAGAGAAAAGAAAGTATCTCCCAGGTGCTTTGGGAGCAAAAAGCCGGAGCAAGTGGGCCTGCAGAAGACATCCAGAATGGCACGAACGCAAAGTAAACCATTCAAAGTAAACCGGGGGTGTTGCCAACAGGAAAGTGGAAGCGCCAGTCCTCTAGAAGACATCATTTTGGGTGCCCATCACTGACAGGGTCAGTGCACGGTAGAACTATACCAGGATACAGACAACCCTGTTAAGTTAAACAAGTACTTACCAGCATCAAAATTTTCTCAGAGAATCACGCCAAGACCCAGGACCTGAGTGCCAATTGAACCCACTAGGGCAGGAGCAGGGGTCACCCCATATGGTAAACTAATGGAAGCTTCAGGACAGGAAAAAAAAACACACTTCTTCAAATAGCTATGGTTAAGCAATGAGCTATGGTTATCCATGAGATGCAGCGATGGTAGTCACTGGTTTGGGTGGCTTTAAAAGGGGTTGGGACCATTCCATGGAGAATAAGGCTATCAGTTACCAGCCGTGATGGTTATATACTACCTCCAGTAACTGAGGTGGTATACCTAATGCACCAGGTTTTGAGGAATATGGATGGTTCATTCATGTATTCATGTACTATTTGTAGGTTTCCCCAAGGCAGCTAGACTTGATGGACCCGATAGACGTGATTGACGCTTAGTCTGATCCAGCACACTAATTAACCCCAGCAATGTGTTTTAAAGGAAGGACCTCCCGTGCCATTCATTACACTGACACCTGCATTTTGACAAATTGTTTAAACATGCTACTTCGCATTAGAAGTCTCCACAGGGCAGACTGGGCTCTATTTGTGGAAAAGAGGGAATGGCTACAAAACTGATACACAAGGATGGCCGAGGTTGCATTGGTGCAGATACCCTTAAGATAATACGTCCCGATGCATTTATTATTTCTTTAAATCTTTTATTTGCTATGCTGTTCTCCAATCCCATAAAGGTTTGAGCATTTATATGGTCTTAAAATAATCAACCATCACAAAACAATAAAAATACAGTTGCATAGCAGAGCACCCAACTCAGCATAAAAATCAGAATGGAATGTACATCTAAAAGGCCTGGACAATAAAAATTGGGTTTACTTGGTGCCTAAATGATGTAGGTTACTACTCTGTACACCTTCTTATAGAGATAGTTCCAAAAATGCTATCAAACAGACTCTCCCAACTCTGGAGGGGAAGGAGGCTGGTAAAAAGGACTTCCAAAGAGGATTACAAAGCACAGGTAGTTTGATGTGGAAGAGTGCCGTTTTCAGGGTTCCCTGATCATAATCTAGTATGGAATTAGTAAGTTTGTATGGATAGCAAAGTCATTAAGAATCGTGACGATCTGGACCAAAGCAGAGATTAAGAGCATGAGGGGAAATTTCGTGCCTGGAACTTCCAGTAGAGCTAGCTAGAGTTCTTTCTGGCTAAAATGCATAGCATTCTGCTTTAAGGTTTCTTTTCACAAGATAAAAGCAAAGAGGAGCACTTCCGATTTCGTAACATGAACGTTCCAACATTAAAAGTGATGGAACTAATGTTAACTTTCCCCTCCAAAGACTGAAAAAACAAGAGTATAAACTTTCAGCTGAAACTGGAACTACAGGCTGTTATTCCAGGATTCCATTACACAATTCAGCCACTCAGGCCGCAATCTATAAGAGAAGATGAATGCGGAAGGGATTCTTCATTTCACTTCATTTATCAAACTTCTACACTACCCAGTAGCTGAAGCTCTCTGGGCAGTTCACAGCAATAAAAGAAAGCCTACTAAAACATCCATTACAGCTTTTTCCATCAGCAGTGATGAGCTCACAGCAAACGCCTAGTGAAAATTGAGCCCATGTCTATATCTCTTTTAGTGTGAGGCAGGAATGATTTAGTGGGAGCAATTGTCAATGGAGAAATGCCTGAGTCTTCTGATCCTCTTACCGTTCCATAAGATGCAATGGAGATGGTGATTGCCTATGTAAGTTTGTGCTCCTTCAGTAAAAAGAGATCAGGTTGTGTAAAAGTCACTGCAATTCTTTTTAAAATAGACTTTACCAGGATACCTTTCTGCTGGGTCTTAGGCAGAGGCTGGCCAGGGCCAGAATCCACAGTGGCCATTTTCTCCAGACAGGTTTAAAGCCCATGTCAGAGTATTCAGCAACGAAAGCAACCGTCAAGCTGGGTGGAATGCAATGTTTTCCAGTATTTCTCTCATGAGGGATGGACTGTACCAACTCTTTGTGATGTGTTTGTGGCATATCTTATGAAATATAGCAGGATATTCTGTGGCCGGCTAAGCTTTGATTTAGGGGTACGTTACTCCTCGTGGATGATGCCCCTTGCTACTGGCCTGACCATGTGGAAGGTCCTCCTGTCCCAGCCATGTGTTCAACAAAGCACTGGCAGAGAGACTCGACCATAATGAAGCACATGGCAATCCCCATAAGGTGCTATGAATGCCCACCTGCAGCAATGCCACAGAGAGTCATCTTTTATTACTTTCACGCAAGAGATGCGTCCAAATGGGCCCTGACATTACATATGAGTGAGAAAGGTCGAGAGCATAAATGACTGATGCGAGGAAAAACAATCATTTTGAAATTGCCCTGGATATCAACATTATGCAGAGCGTTTGTTCCAGTCCCTGCTTCCGTTCTGGTGGCGCTCAAGCCACAAAAGCCCGAAGGCTCCCGTCAGTTCCTATACCCAGAAAAGACTTTAGGTAGAAGCAGCTTCAGAAAGGGAAGAAGGCTCCCTTGCTGTCCTCTTGTGGAAAAAAGCGTGCACTGCGACTTGGGCTCGAACAGCGAGTCTTGCACGGAAACGGGGTCACGCACAAAGCAGTCAGAGGTCAGAGATCTGAAAACTCCTGAATCCAATCCAGGGATCAGTATCTGCTTATCTTTATCAATGAGAGAGCTTCCCCACCCTGCCTTCTCCCCTGCTGAGAACATAAGCATAGTTCAGAGCCCTCTGCCTCTTTTCCTGCCAACCCCAACTCGTCAGAACCCTTCTCTGAAATTTAAAGTACAATAAAAGGGGTTTTCTCTTACAGCTCACTTCTGCTTACAGTCAAGTGCTCTCAAACCCACTGTTTTCAGCAAGTTTGGGCCCACTTTGTGTAGGATCAGGCAGCCTGTTCCTAGCAACAAGATAGCAAATGCTATTTTGGGATGCATCAACAGAAGGATAACTTTCAAATCATGAGAAGTAGTAATTCTTCTATACTCCTCACTAGTCAGACCTCACCTGGAATGCTGTGCCCAATCCTGGGCACCAATATTTAAGAAAGATGCAGGTAAGTTAGAAAGGGTCCAGTGGAGGGCGACAAAAATGAACCAGGGTTTGGAAACACTGCCCTGTGAGGAGAGACTGAGGGAACTGGGCATGCTCAGCCCTGAGAAAAGAAGACTGAGGGGGGACATGGTATCTCTCTATAAGGACCTCAGAGGCTATCACAAAGAGGAAGGTCAAGATCACTTCTTGCTGATATCAGAGTGCAGGACACAAAATCAATTCAAGCTGTGGCAACCCAGATTCAGGCTGGGCATCAGGAAAAGCTTCCTCACTGTCAGAGCAATAGGACAGTGGAACCAGCTGCCTGGAGAGGTGGGGGGCTCTTCCACACTGGAGACATTCAAGAACCTGGGCAGCCACCTGAGCGGGATGGTGTAACATGGTGTCCTGCAACAGCAGGGGGCTGGACCTGATGGCCTTCCTGGCCCCTTCCGACCCTACTATTCTGTGATTCCATGATTTCATGATTCACAAATCCCTCCTGGCAAGGCACTCCTGTCCTGAAATTTCACTCATGCAAAGCTCCATGGTGGCATGGGCCACACTGTACGGTGTGGTTCCCACACGAGTTTAGCAAATGAACATGCCTTCACGGAAACGGTGCTGCATTTCGCTGCCATCAGGGAGCTGTTGGGCCAGACCTCCTACCCAAGCAGCCTCTTGCCGCGACACATTCCACAGATGGACTTATTTCCTTATTTCTTTGATTCATTTGCACGCCACCCACCCTGCCTCTTGCACCATTCAGCCTCAAGGATTGCACTACTATGGGGGAGGGAAACCGTCTTTACCCCCCAACCGTCTGGGGGGCTTTGCAAAGAGAAGAAAAGGCGCCGCACGGAGGGACAAGCAAGGCATGGAGGACCGGCACTGAGCAGGCAAGTCGCGGCGCAGAGGCGACGGGCGTCCGAACCAAACGCGGAGCAAAGCGCCGCGAGGACCGAGCCACGAGGCACCCGGGCTCCCTGGGCGTGCGCCCCGCACGGCCGAGCAGCCTGACCCGGCGCCCCGCGGCCCGCTCCGAGCCAGCCAGCCTCGGAGGGCCGCGGGATCCCGCCGCTCGGCCGCGGGCTTTCCGGGCAGGCGGCTGCGCCGACCGCCGCGCTACTTACTCCCGAGCAGGCGCCCCTCGGACCGGGCCGCGAGGGACTGCGCCCCGCCCGCGCTCCGGCCGGCCCGGGCCGCTCCCCGTGGCGGGGCCCGCGGGCTCAGAACGGGGCCTGCGGAACAATGGATCGCCATGGCGACGGCGCGGCCTAGTCGCCGCCCGAGCCCGGCCCCGGCCTGCCCAGGCGGAGGGGGGCGGCGGGCGAGCGGCTGCCCCGGATCGACCATGCTAAGCCACAGGTGACCGGCGGGCCGCGGCTGGGCGGGGTGAGGTGGGGCCGTGGGCGGGCGGGACCCGGGGGGCCCTCGGGCTGAAGGACCTCGCCCAGGGGGAAGGCCTGAGAGGGGCTCGGGGGACGCTTCTGCCCACTCGGGCCCCCGGGCATGCCCTGCGCCTGCCCAACCACGGTTTCGCCCAGCCAGAAAGCCTGCATGGGCTCGGGGGACGGGATGATGCAGGGGGGCTAAATCTGGGCACACACATGGATGCGGAGCAGACGTGGGACAGGTTATATTGCATGGACTCGCTTGCCTGTTGCCCAAGGCAGCTTACGCTGTGCCCTGGCATCCTCACCACAACACCCCTGCGAGGTAGGTTTGGCTGAGAGGGCATGGCTGGCCCAAAGTCCATGAGGAGCTTCGTGGCTGAGTGGGGACAGCAACCCCACCTCCCAGGTGCCTGGTCCAATGCTCTCTGCACCACACCGGCTCTCAAATAAGGATGCTCAAATTAGTGGCAGACATGCAGCACATGGTCCTGGATTTTCAGATTCCCCACACATGGTTAGCATCCATGTTCAAGTCTATCACTCCGTCTCCCCAGGGGAACAAGACAAGTGCCATGCTGTCCCTTGAAGGTAAATCATCATCACGCTCACCCTACTTTTAGACAAGACTAGCTCACAGTAGGACCCCTCTGCTCATCCTAATTCATATTTTCCAAAGGTTCTGCCACGTAACACACACACAAATCCTTCCACTGTGTTAATCTTTTCAATCTATGTTAACATAGATTTCCTTTTCTTCAGCTCCTTTTATATGTATGCCATTGAGTCACCTCTGACTTGTGGCAACCCTCTGGATGAGTGCCCTCCAGAATGTCCCTTGACAGCCCTACTCAGCTGTTGTAAACTCAAGGCTCGGACTTGCTTTATGCAATCAATCCATCTCATAGTTGGTCTTCTCTTATTCAACCGTCAGCTCTAGCATCATCGTCTTCTCCAAGCACTCTTGCCTTCTCATGATGGGTCTGAAGTACAACAGTCTTAGCTCATGATTTTTGCTTCCTGGGAAAGTTCTGGCTCGGTTTGATTTAGGACCCCCTGGTTTATCTTTCAGACACGTCACTTTTCTTCATGTCAGCCTTCCTCCAACTTTTCACATCCACACTGTTGTGAGGATGATCTTGGCCTTGATCACCAGTGAAATGGCCTTACATTTGATGAACTTTTCTCCTTCTTTCATTGCTGCCCTTTCATGTCTGTCTTCTGATTTCATGGCTACTGTCGTTATTTGAGTTGATGATTTGAACCAAGGTATGCAAAATCTTTTGCAATTTTAATTCATTGTTGACATAAAGTTCTATAATTCATCTGCAGTTATTATTTTTGTTTTCTTGATGTTCAGCTGCAGCCCTGCTTTGCCGCTTTCTCCTTTTGCTTTCATCAGGAGTCGTTTCAGTTCATTGCTGCTTTCTGCCAGTAAGACGGTATCATCTGGATATCTTAAATTACTGATGTGACTTCTGCCAATTTTCACTCCTCCTTGCAATCCTAATCCAGCTTTTTCTATTATATGTTTTGCATACAGATTGGACAGACAGGAAGATGTTGGACAACATTGCCTGTGGGAAGCTATTTTGTTTCTCCATATTCTGACCGAACACTAGCTTCTTGTCCACAATAGAGATAACACATCAAGATGATAAAGTGCTGAAGTATATTTCAGCACCGTTCATTGTTTTTCATGAGCCACACAGTCCAAGGCTTTGTTGTCGTCCATAAAAAATAAATCGATCATCTTCGGAAATTCTCTGTTTGCAATATGATCTCAAGTGCCTTTCCCGTTTCATAATCCAGCTAGAGCTTCAGGGTTTTCTCACTTCATATAGAGTAGAATTCTTTGTTGTAACACTTTGCACATCACTTTGCTGGCACGGGGAATTAGTGCAAGGGTCCTGTGGTTGCTGCACTCTTTAGCATCTCCTTTCTTGGTTATTGGAAGGTTAATGCCGGCTGGAGCCGAGGGTCAGACTAGATGGCTTGGGAGACCCCTTCTGACTTGCTCTCTTTCTGTGTTTCTAATGAGTGTTTCCTGGCTGTAGGCCATTGTTTAGTTTTCCATCTTGCTGGCGTATCCTTGTTAGGTTTTGGACCAATTCAGTCTTTGCAGCTTAGAATAGTGCTATTGGAATCCTATCTACTCTTGGTATTTTGTTTCTTCCAACTTCTTTCACAGCAGCTTTCTATCATTGCAGGTTCTTCCTTATAGGCTTTCTTTGCAAAGGGCTCTTTCAACTTTGTGTTTTTGGTATATTTTCTCCATAATTTGTTTCTAACTTATCTATATTTTCTCCTGGTCCAATAGTATGTTCCCTATTGGTCATTTGACTTTTTAATCTAAGTTTCTAATCTAAGTTTAATCTAATTTTATAACTTCTGGAAGAAATCTCTTGTTTCTCCTCTTTTATTGTTCTATTATATTTCTTTACACTGGCCATTTAAAAGCAGTTATTGGCTTTATATGTTAGTCACTGAGAAGCTGAACTTTTTTATCCCTAATAGTATCGCTGGTTTTGGTCCACCATTTTTCTGGTTCGTGGTCATTTGAGGTCAGTACCACAATTACATTCTTGACATGGACTTTAAATCCCTCAGGAATGTTTAAGTTGTATTTTGGCACTTTGCTTCTCTTAGTGATCTTTTGCAGCTTTACTCTGATTTTTGATATTAAGAGTTCACGGGCAATATCACAATCTACTCCTGGTCTCATTTCGGCATATACTTGTCCACCTCTGTCTCCTGTTTCCGATTATATAATGTATATATAACACATTATAATTATATAATGTGTTTGATTTCTATAATGGCCATCTGGTGGTTCCATGTAGAAAGTTGTCTGATCAGTTTCCTGAAGTATTTATTTACAATGAACAGATGGTTGACTTCACATAATTTTGTGAGTCTTTCTCCTGTTTCATTTCTGATCCCTAGGCCAAATTCTTCCACAATACTGGATTCTGTTTTGTTTCGTACTTTGGCACTCCAGTTCCTATGATCACCAGCATGTCTTGCTTTGTTATGTTAGTAATTTCCTTTTGAACACCTGCAGGAGTTTTTTGATTTCTTCTTTAGCATTTGTTGTTGGAATGTATTTATGTCTACTGTATTAAGCAATACTTGTCCACTGGCCAGCAGTTCTTTTCCTAAGAGTCTCCAGGTGGACTGAAGGAACACACTAGCTAATCTGCTTAGATCGTAGAATTGCTGAGAGGCAGGGCAGGTGGAAGAACCTAGACAAAGAATGAGCAAGAACCTAAGGAAGCGTGGGAGAAAATTGTCACAGGAACATGGGATCCTCAGGCACCAGTGCATTCCGGAAACCCTTCTTGGTGTTTGCCAAACTACTTGACCCTTCCCACTTCTAAAAAATGCACATCCGTTTGAGTTTCTGCAAAGTAAGTTTCTGTCTGTGCTGAAAACTGGAGTCCAGGGAAATGTTCATTGTGTAAGGAATCACCGTAGTCTTTTGGACAAGCCACCATCCTTTGCCAAGGAACCTGTGGCAGCCGTTCTGTGGTAGTGACCCAGGACAGTGCTCATGGCCCTCAAAGGTTACTTAACCCTGGGTTAGAGAGTGCAGGTAGCCAAGGGGAGCAGGCGGAGGGAGGAGCTAGGGAGGTAGGGTTCCAACAGAGCAGTGAAGAAGAATGCGAGGAAGAGGAAGAGGCCTCCAGGAGCAGCTTCCTTGATGGGTATGGTGCACTGGAGCAAAGGAAGTTCATGTGTTTGGTTGAAGGAACCAGCTGTATTTTTGAGCTGCAGAACACACTATTAGTGCAAGGAAAGGGAATTGGGAGCCACTGTGATGACAGCCTTGCAACTGACCTGCTTTTCCACTGGATCTTTCTTTCGTTGTTGTTTTCCAGCCCAGGCATGATGAACATTGGAACTATTGATGTCTATTTGAGCAAGTTAGGTACCAACCTCCAAACCATGGTGTACGATGACGAGCAGGAGCATGAAGCCTGGAGGATGTATGTGGAGAGGAAAAATGTTGTGCTGGAGTTCCTGCACTCTGACTTGAGCCTCCACCTGCTCAAACGCCACCACAAGCGGATTGAACTCCTGAAAAAGTGCTCCTATTACATTGAGATCCTGCCTAAGCACTTGGCACTGGGAGATCAAAACCATCTCATGCTACCCACCACCATGTTCCAACTGATAGACCCCTGGAGGTTCCAGAGGATGAAGAAAGTGGGGACCATCCAGACCAAAATCCAGCTGCTGCTCCTGTCTGACCTATTAGAAGAACTGGAGAGAGGTCGGGAGGAGCTGGTCCATTACCTGGAGACCTACGACACGATGACTTTCCTCTCCAGATGGGACACAATCAAGCAAAGGTTGTCTAGTCTCTCCGAACAGATGGATTATTTCCTTGCTATGCTAGTCCCTGGAAGGTTGTTCATCAAACACCGACTGGTATCAGATGTAGGGATTAGCAAAATCCCACACATCAGACTAGTCCTTAGCACGAAAATGCCAGTAATGTTTGATCGAAGGGAATCTGTGGCACATGAAGACTGGGTGAGTCTCAAGTGGTTTGTCACTAGTCAGCAGCTGCAGCTTGAACAGTATGAACTCCATTTTAAGCTGCTGGAGCCCAGATCTCCGCAGGAGCGCATCCACTGTGGATTAATGCCAGTCTCCTCGAGCACATGCGAAATCCACAACCTGCTGTCTGACCGTTTGTACAGATTTACCATCAAAAGAGCAGAGACATACACCCTTGTCTATGAACAGTGGCATGATTCCATCCTTCTTAAGACAAAGCCATACCTTGAGGAAGAAATGGAGAGTGTTATGTCTCAACCCTGACTTTCCCACCATAGCAATTCGCAAGGAATGTAAAATAAGTCAGATTAAAAACTTATTTTTAAAGCTTTTGCATCAAAGCATGAGATTTTTCTTGTCTTGGATCAAAATTTGACAAACCTTAAGCTGCCAAGAGAACCAATGCAGTTGATAGGCCAAGCAAACCAGAGTTACATTTGACCTATTGTTTGCTTCTTTTGGGGTTGCCCCAGAAAGTCTGCTCTGATCTAGTGGAAAACATCAATAAAAGTTTTAGATAACAAAATGACTCAGTGGAAAATTGGGTTACGTTAAACAACTGTCTTTAAATTCAATTTTTTTACAAAGAAAATGCTGGGTAGAGGGAGCCATTTGTGTTGCAGTGGAGTGTGAACAGGAGATAATGTAATTGCCAGTTCATGCAATTACCTGAAATATTGGGAAAACTGTTACTGCTGAGATGAGTTGGCTGTATGGAACAAACAGCAGGATCATTCTTTCTCATCACGTATCTCTTCCTAGAGACCGACTGAAATGCCGACTACCCCAGAGCTGTTTCATTCTTAATACCTGAAGTTAACCACCTAAAAACAGAGTCCTGACCCGTTAATTAAATATGTGAACTGGGCATCAGCATCACCCCATGCCATCTCTTGGTGTTGTGCAACGTCTAATACAGTTTAGACCATGCTTATTTTGGGAGAGTAAGAATGCTCTGGAAGCCTGTGTCTGTTTCTGCTGAGATAGTGTATGCTGTAACATCTCTGAATTTTCCCAGATTCCTGGGGTGAAAGATTAGTTGTCCCCAAATAAGCACCAGGCATCACTAGAGAGATTTTGCCTGTGATGACAGGTTACAAGATTGGGAGCTTTTGGCCTTAGAAAATAAGTTGAGTCATGAGGAAGACATAGAAGTACGGTGGTACTTTGGCTCACAAACTTAATCTGTTCCAGGACTCTGGTCGTGGCCCAAAATGGCCGTGAGCCAAGTTAAATTTCCCCATAAGGTCAACGCAAACAAGGTGAATCCATTCTGTAACTATTTTTTTTAAGCAGAAAAATAGGAAGCAAAGTGACAAAGAACAAAGATCGTGGCCATCTCCCCCTCCCCGCAACCCGAGCACGTCCATCTCCCCACCGCCACAGCACAACTCACGCCCATCATCCTCATGCTGGGGAGGGGAGACGGGCGCGATTGCGGCACACCGGGAGGGAGATGGGTGTGATCGTGCCGGGGGCGGAGATGGCCGAGATCGTGGTTGCGCTCCTGCAAGACAGACAGATGAGATCTCAGCCCTCTCCCCCCGCCCTCAGCACGATCGCGGCCATCTCCCCACTTGTGGGGTGGGGGGAGACAGCTGTGATCATGGTCGCCACCCAGTGCAGAGTTCGCGACCTGAGTTAAAATGTTTATGAAAGTTTTGTTCACAACCTGATTTGGTTGTGAACCGAAATGTTCATGAGCCGAGGTACCACTGTACATAAAATTACACATCGTTTGGAGCTGCAGCTCATAATTAAACATTAGACTTGGCTGCTGTAAGATGGCCGCCAACATGGATAGCTTTAAAAGGATGCTAGACAAATGAATGGAGACTATCAGTCCTGATGGCTACATGCCAGCAACGCTGCTGGTCCTGATGGCTCTGTTCTGTCTCTACTATTGGAAGCAGTTGCTGGGGTGCTATCGCACTCACGTCTTGCTCACGGGCTTCATGTAGGTGTCCGGGAATCTGTTGTGTGAACAAAATCCTGCAATAGACGAGACTTTTGGTTGACTGTTTTTGTGTATCACATTGTGAAAGGGTTGTGCTTTGCGGGCAAGAGGAGTTGGCTTAGGACCAAGTAAGGGTCAGCTGTGCAGAGTGAAAACAGCCACTGACCAGACCAGACAGATCCTGTCTTACGGAAAAATAGTTTGTAGGGCATTGCCCAACACAGATAGAGGGTACACGCATAGGGCTTCATGCCCACCTCAAGCCCAGGCCTAGCAGTCGTCATGGCAACACCTGAAAGAAAGTAAATGATCGGAAATTTACTTACTTACTTATTTGCAGTATTTATATCCTGTCCAGGGAACATCGGCTATGGGTGGTACAGAAATATAGTAATATACCGCTGCATAGAATGTGGCAGCAACACCATTCTCAGGGGTTTAGCCTGGGAGAAGAACTAGGGGTCTTTGGGATGGAGGCAGAGAAGCAGTGGGCGGCTTTGCTTAGCGTATGGGCATCACTTTGGATCAGATGAGGAGATTTGAACCCACCATCTCTGCTGTCCCAAGCTTTAGGAGTAGTCACCACACTTGGGCTCCGCAGATGCATGCAAGCTTGACCGATCATCGATGGCCACACGGAACTGAGAGCATCAGAAGAGTCCTAATGCTGGATCAGTCTCGCGGTCCATCCGGTCTAGCATTCTGTTCACACAGTGGCCAACTGGTTTCCCTCAAGCAGGATAGGAGTACAACCACTCACCCTCCCATGCTCCCCAACAGCTTGTGCACGCAGGCATGCTTCCTCTGATCTGGAGATGGCGTACAGCCATTAGGACTAGTAGGCCCAGGAGCTTTCTCCTCCCTGGTTCTTCAGCCATGGTGGTCCAGTCGTCTGAGAGGGAAAAGCACTCTAGACATGGTACAAGACATGCACTTCCGCCAGTTCAGGCACCAAGCCTGGTTTTTAGGACTTTGTTATGCCATCAAGTCATCTCTGATTTATGGTGACCCTATGAATTAATTCCCTCCAAATGCCCTGTCTTTGATGGCACTGCTCCCCTCTTTAAATGCGAGGCTTGGTTTCTTTATTGAGTCAATCCATTTCATTTTTAGTCTAGCTGCCCTTAGCTACTGCATGTGCTTTATTCCTTCCAAGTTCTTTCACATTAAACTTCACTTCACTTTCTAATATTGCAGGTTTTTTCCCATAGGAGGCCTCTTCGAAGGACTCTGTCATCCTTTTATCTTCTCTGTCTAGTTATTCCATATATAGTTTCCACCTTCTTATTATTTTCTTCTGGTCACATAATATGTTCCCCTGTTAGTCTTTCATCACTCTTAATCTAGGCTCGAATTTTCATTTGATTTCTTGGATCTTCTAGAAGAGGTTTCGTGTTCTCCCACTTCTGTTTTCTATTTATATGCCCTAGCCATCCTAAGAGTTCTTTTTGTCTTTATGTGGTAGCTGTTGAAAAATTGCATTCACGATTCCAACTCTTTCTGTCACCTTTGGTTTTGCTTCTTGCTTGTCCTTTGCAACTGTGAGTGTTTCTTAGGTAATCTAGGCTTTTTTATTTCTTGTTGGCTTTCTTCCCGAATAATGTGACCGTGCTAAAGCAGTCCTTGATTCAGTAAAGAGAAGACTATCAGGTTTCCAAGGAAAGCTCCTTTCAAAAAGGGACTGAACGCCAGATCTGGGTTTTTAAACACTACACGTGTAACATTTATTCTATGAGATAAAGAATACAGAAGTATAATAATACAAGTTCAACAATCATCAGCAACAATACCAAGAGGCCTCATTCACACTCGCATTCATGCAACACTCATCCTCACAGCCAATAGACCCTCTCGGTGCTGCATCGGGACTGTGGGTGACCAGTAGCAGTGCTGTTCTGACACACACGGGAGCTGGAAAGCCCAAGCATTTTATACCTTTAAGTTGATGCTCTCGGCTTAGTCCAACTGGATCGAACAGGGAGCTCCTCTGAGCAGAGCTGACACACAGAACGTGCTGGTCCTTATCTTGAACGCACGTAGGCGTGGGCTCATCTGTGTCGTTCCCTTCTCCCACCACTCCCGGCCTCTCAGTTTTCTCAGTCTGATCAATCCCGTCATGCTTTTTCATTCTTCATTTTCTTCTGGGTCTTAGGCCTTCAGGAACCCAGGCACACTGTGACCATAACATCTCTGATTTCAGTCAATAGTTCTGGTTTGTGGTCAGTTGAGTTCAGTGATGTAAATCTGGTCTTGATGTGGACTTTAAATTCCTCAGGAATGTTGTTTAAGTTGTATTTTGCCACCAGGCTTCTGTTAGAGTCAAGGCGATAAAGGACACTTAGTTTTTTATATTAATGCTTCATGGACACTACCGTAATCTGCTCCTGGTCTTTTCTTGGCAGCAAATAAACAGTTTTTCCATCTTCCTACTACTACTACTTCTTTAGAAGGCCAGATCCTGAAGATGAAATTCAAATACTTTGGCCATCAAATGAGAAGGAAGGACTCCCTGGAGAAGAGCCTAATGCTGGGAACGACTGACGGCAAAAGAAGAAGGGAACAGCAGAGGATGAGGTGGCTGGATGGGGTCACTGGGGCAGTGGGTGTGGGCTTGGGTGGACTCCAGGGGATGGTGGAGGACAGGAAGGCCTGGATGAATGTTGTCCACGGGGTCGCGATGGGTTGGACACGACTTCGTGACTAACAACAACAACAACAACACTACTACCACCAATTTCTTGGTATTTAATTTCCCTCTTTTTCCTTTGGTGATGTCGATACGTACAGTTACCTGACTGGTTGACTGAAGTCTGCATTTGTGATAAACAGATGACTAGCTATGCAGGAACCTGTGAGTCCTTTTCCTGCTTCATTTCTGACCCCTGAGCCAAATTCTTCTACAACATTGGATCCCACTTTATTTCCTCCTTTTGCATTCCGGTCACCTATGATGAACAGCATACCTTGATTTCATGTGCTGTCCTCTTGGCGCTTTCATAAAAGCTCTCTCCAGCATCTGCTGTTGGAATGTAGACCTGAATGATGGTCATGTTGATGGGTTTTCTGAGAACTGCAATTGATGTGATTTAGTGGGTCTTTGCATGAATGGTCCCATACTCTCTGACCTACATCTTCCCTCAATATTAGAGCCACTCCATTTCTTCCGAGTCTGTCATTTCTTGAGTAAAACACTTTGACCGACTGAAAATGTTCTTCCTCCGCCCCCTTGTTTGCTCACACTCAGGACTGTAATGCTTAACCATTTCTTGTTGCATAGTTTTCAGTTTGCCTTGATCCATGCTTCGCACGCTACACGTACCGACTGGATGTGGTGTGCAGCATCACACTTTCCTTGCGTGTCCATGCATGTCAACTACTAGACTTCGCTTTGGCTTTGACCCAGTTGCATCATCATCAGTAGCACCGTTCAGACCTTCGCTCTTTCCATGTAGCTGCTTGAGTGCCTTCCAGCCGAGGAGTCTCATCTTCTGGCACTTTCTCTTGCTCCGCTTTGCATTGCAGGGTTGCCAAAGATGAACTATTCAGACATGCTTTGCACTGCTTTCTTCTGCACAGAACCAGAGTTCTCTCCAGTGTCACTGCTATTGTCTGATAGAAATTCTGCACCTGTGTTGCCTTCAAAACCTGGCCCTCAGGAATTTCTCTGTCCCCACCAGCCTTAGATATATCCATTTTCCTCCACTTCTGTGAACTTTACTCCCGAAGAGGGTGGGTGCAAGTCAAGTCTCTGCTTTGCCCATTCTGCCTTGGGTGACACTGCTAAAAGACAAGACTAGCAGGAGTTTATGGGGCAGTATCATAATTGAAATAAACCTCTGCTCCTTCTATGGACCATATGCTGTTCTTTCTCCAGTATATTCCCTGGAGTTCACTCCACAAACTTTACCTAAGTATAATCCAAGGTTTCTGACATTGCAGATTGCCAGGTGCTTTCTTTCCTTCTGTTTAGAACAGATACTTCAGACTGCAGGAAAAATGGACAGCTTGACCTAGAAGGCAAATTTCTTTTTATTCTCTTCATAAGATCATCATCATCCCTCTGTTTCAGAATAGTGGGTTGCCAGGTTTAGATGAAGTTAAGGATCTGTAATGAAAATATGTGATCAGATCTCCCATCTTGCGATTGCAGAGCAAGGAGAAATTCAGATCTGGGCTCTGCTGCATGAGTGGACTGGTGGGGTTCATCCTTTCCCTCTGAATTCCCTTTGATTGCTGCAATGCACTCTGTGTGGGGCAGCCCTTGGAGACTGTTCAGAAGCTGCAGCTCCTGAAGAATGTGGCAGCAAGATTAGTAACTGGGACCTGTGGGTCCAAACACACTATACCAGTTCTGGTTCCCTGTAGTCTTCCAGGCCCCATCCAAGGTGCCAATTTTAAGCCATGACGCCTCACCTGGCTCGAAACGGCAGTCTCGAACAGAGCACAACCCACCCGGCCACTGTGCTCGGCATCCTGGGCCTTCCTCCATGTGCCAGCTGTGAGGGAGGGCCGGAGGTCAGCAAGGGCGTTCTGTGTTGGCCCCCCACCTGTGGAATGGTATCCCCACTGTGGCCCACCTGAGGCCGACCTTGTCACCTTCTCAGTGCCTAGATGCATCTTAACCCGTCTTCTTCCCACCAGGCTAAGGCGGCCCTTGATGCCAAGGCTTTTTAAAGATATACTTGGGTTTCCAAGGGGGTTGCCCATCCCATATGCTTTTCTTTTAGAGGGTCATTCTTTGATGTGTGTTTTTTTACATTTCCTTTGATAGGATTTTATGGTATGTTTCTCGTTTTTCGTGTTGTTGTTATATGATGTTCTAAACCGCCTAGGCAGCTTCAACTATTCGCCAGTATAGAAATAATCCTCATTTTCATTATGGCAGAATGGACCCTGCTGGTGGGGAAGTCCTGAGGGCAGAATCCAGTGCCCCCTTGGCTCAGTGCCCATGAACCTGTGAACACGGTGACTCGCGCGTGGCTTGTTCCCTGCAGTCCCGATGTTTTCAGCCATCTGGATGAAGCCCCATGGGATGAGTGAGGCCCAGGACCCACTGGGATATGGCATAAGCCGTTGGCCCCAGCCCCCTCCCCTGGGGAGGGTGTTAAAAAAATCCCTTTTTGGAATCTGAAATGGTACACTTTAGTTAACACCTCAGGACCACACCACCTCATCTGGCCACTGTCTAGGCTTCCCCTTCCCCATATGCAAACACCACGCCATTTATTGCCACAAACTGAATAGAGAAAGAAGTTTTATTCTGCATAATACAATATTTGATCCAAGGTTAATAGAAACATAACCTCTATTTTCATTTTTTTGGTCAGCCTATGAATTAAAAATAGTTTATAGAGTATTAGACAGCCATAATTTATACATACCAAAGATTTAATTTAACATTACCTGCCCTCCAAAGCTGCCCCTAAAGTATCATACATGCAAATCCATTTTTTAAAAATAGACTCCAATAATTAAATACAATTAAAATTACAAATTCATTACAGGTCCCTTGAATATATACTATATAAAAAGACACACAGCTGCTTACATCTCAGAAATATTTTAGTCCATTTCACAAATAAATGGCTCAGCCGCAATCCAGTAAGAAATTCTCCCAAAATAAATGAGTCTCCTGCCAGAGCAAGGCCCCATTAATTCCAATGGAGCTTATGCAAGAGTAGTTCTGACTGGATTGTGCTATCATTATTGCACTAAAAACAGAATTAACATCACCTCTGCATTCCTTTTACTTTTTGTTTCAAGGAGAGATCTCTAAGCAAATAAAAAAGGCTTAAATCTCAAATGCTTTGCACTGACCATTTTCTTTGGAAAACAAGCTCATTGTATCTGTGTGTACAGCTATTTTCATAGAAATGCTGATGATATAAAAGCTGGGTTAATGGTAGTCCTTGGATGCTGAAGCCAAATCCACAAGAAAATTCTCCTGAGCATGCCCACTGAAATGTATGGGGCTCACACAACTGCATACATGTTTTTGCACACCCGGATTTCTTTGGGACATGTGCAGTAGAAAGGTCTGGTAGAAGCACTGAAAGGTCAACGTTGCCCAGATTGAGTGTGTGCGCTTCAATACTGCAGAGCCAGACAGATAACTCCCACCTGTGGAGAAATTTCTGGAAAAAAGGCCAGTGTGGTTTTGGAGCTGACTGAGCCAGACAGAAGGGCTTGAGGACAGAGAAAAAGGCACCAAGGTGGAAGAGGCAAAGGTGACCATGGCCCAATGAACTAGTTGGAGGGAGGGACAAAGAGGGATGAACGAAATGCTACTTTAATGAAAGACAGGGAAAGTTGGTGCTGGAAATGGCTTGCCTAGTCACCACTGGCGAAAAAAGATCACCTCCAGGTGACCAGCGAAGAATGAGCTTTTGGGAGTTTTTAAGTGGGTCTTATTTCTCTTTTGGTCACTTAATATCAATGTAGTAGGTATATGGAGGTAGAAAGGTACACAAAAACAAGTTTGGTAACCTTTGAGGCTGGCTGAGTCATCTGCAGCTCCGACATAAAGGTTTATGCCAGTACGTAATTATGTGTTGGCACTGACTTGTTCTTTCTCACTCTGTGCAACAGTTAAAAAGTGTTCTATGAGATCGGTTCTCTTGTCTGAACTTTTTGTTCCCAAGTAAAAATATGCATGTGGATGTTGCATTTCTAAGAACATTTTTTAAACTTTCACATTCACAATTACTTGAGGTAGAACGGGGAAAAGAAATGCCTCACTCCCTTTCCATTGCTATTTAGCTCCCTGACAAAAGGTTTGCCTTTTTGGAGGTAAAAATCCCCCAGTTAAAAGAAAAATACTAAAAACGCTGTACATTCAAATTGTACAGAACCCGGGGTTTGATCCAACTTCAGTCCTAGTTATGAATCTACTGTTACCTACAGCTAAATCTGGATCAAATCCAAGATTTGCTTCTCCCAATATGTTAAGGCTGTTTTTTTTTTCTTTTTCCTGTCATTCTCCATTATTAAAGAGCAGTTCCATGTGTTCCAAGAAATCAGATGTTCTAAAATACAAGGCAGCTAAAGGAAGCAGAGAAAGACCCAAAGTGTCATCAAGACAACACTGGCCTCCTTATTGCACGCATTCTCTTAAAGGAAGAACTCCAGCTACATCATCGTAGGGCAAAACTGAGGCTAAAGTCACCCGCATGGGCTTTGGACAGTTCTGAGCAGCTATACCAGGAATGTTCATGAGTCAGAAGAGCTGAATTCCACAAAAACGGCTTCAAAGAGGCAGCTAAATCCAATCCAGTTGGAGTATCAAGGGAGCGGATGTGAGTTCTCCTTGCATCGAGTCCAAGAGGTTTGTTTGTTTTTTAAGTAGGTACTTAGTATATTCCAAGCTGAAGCAGAAACAAGCATCAGAAGCTCTTTTCCAACCCACAATGTAGAGCATAGAACCCAAGTGGAATTAGTGCATTTCACAAAAATGCATAAAAGTGTGAGAGACTGTAGACCAAGGAACGGGGACCTGTGGTCGCCCAGATGTTGTTAGGAATGCAATTCCCATCAGCCCCAATGAGCAAAGCCAACAGTCAAGGAGATGGGAGCTGTAGTTCAACTACCCTCATTGCTGCAGCAGAGCATATCTAAGAACACTGGAATGTATGAACAACCACACAGTTCTCTGAGCTGTTGACAGAAAGGATCGCAGACTGCGGGGAGCTGTCTTCAAGGCTCGCTCAGGGTTCCCTGAGAAACAGGCAGCGGACTTGCAAAAGCTTGTTTCCTTCCTTTGTGTATAACTGTCCATTCTCTACACACTAGATTATTTTCTTAGGATTTGCAGCTTACATTCAGAATCGCTGGCGGAAAGAAAAGTACCATGATCAGGAGCAGACAAGCTTCGCAAGATCTCTGGTCAACCTCTCAGATGCAGCTTTAAAAAGAGAAAAATTAAAAACACATTTTTGGTAAGAGGAAACACTTTTCAAGTACAGTTCAAAATGGAGGTTTAAAACACATTTGTACAAAAATTTCCCTACAACAAAATAATTTACATTTGATGGCTAAAACCACCTCATTATAAAAATGGGGCCCTGCTTACAGGCTCTGTGATGCTCTATCCAGGAAATGTTTGCATTCTTTCTGCCAAATGCAGCCGGCTCTTCTTCTGATTTTGAGCAAGGAAGGACCAGACCCTGGCAGATCCATTGGAGATGGCATATTTTTCCTTGTCTTTAGCCCAACAGGTAGAATTCTTCTTGAAGAGCTTTTGTAAACGCTCCTTGGGTTTTCTGCTTCATCCCTTGGTCCCCAAAGCAAAGCGAAGATGCTTTTTCCCAAAAGATCTGGCTGGGGATTCTGCAGAACACTCCGGCCTTTTGGCCTCTGTATTGAAAGATGTCCCCTCTCCCCAGATGGAATGCTTTCAGAAGAGAAAAGCCACCTCGCACGGTGGTGACCACGCTTCCAGTCAAGGGTGCCACAAAGACAAGTCCAACGTGTGAGACAGCCGTGCTCTTGCAGTCTCCCGCAACTTGGTTTTGCCACTGGGCTATGGAGCCAACAGAGCAGCCAGTGATACACAGAGAGAGAGGCCAGAACAGTGTCTATGCACCAGCCCAAGCCCAGAGGCCACTCTTTCCATCCGGCCACTTCTGCTGCCCACACCACCAGTTGTCCACCAATGGTCTAGAGATGGTCACCAAACCACGTCCCTCTCGTGGCTCGGTGCCCAAAGGGCCTTGCATGCCAATTCCTTCCCTAACAGCATCTCGTTAGTTATTCTCATGTGCTACGTTGGGCCACTAGTTTTGGCTCCGAGTGGCAACTCCTGTATCATTTACAAAGCTGGAAAGCTGCCCAGAAAATAGATGAAGATCTGTTAAAGGCCATGACATACTTCGAACCGGGGGCATCCATTCATGCCAGCCGTGGCTCAATCCTGATGGCGGCGGCAGCTGTATAACATTGCTCCTTCCTGTAATGCTGCAGGAGGTTCCTCCACAAGGAGTTGCATTCCAGGAGGTGAGAGTTTCCTATCAGCAAAAGGGGGAGACAGAGAGAAAAGAGAAGCGGCAATGAAGATCACCTTCGAGGGAATTGCATTCTCCCCACCAGCCGCTGCCCTTAAGGCAGGACCCACAACGAATCTTGCTCCACATGCAGGAGGCCGCAGTTTCAATCTTGAGTAACTCCAGTTTTAAAAAGAAGAGCAGGAAGGGGCGCCTAAGGCCATTGGGTCCCACCCCTCAGGAGTCCAAGCTGAAGCATCCCTGCCAGGTAGCTGTCCAGCTTCATCTGGAGCGGCTCCTGTGGGCAAGAACTCGCCACCACCCTGGGCCATGGGTTCCCTTGTCCTATTGTTCTCATTAGCCAAGACCCCAGGCAGTTTGTTCAGGTTAAAATACACAATACCAAACTTGATGGACGAACAGTCCAACTCTGTATGAAGGCATCTTGCAAGATAACCTGTGTTGTTGGGCCAACAGAGTAGAGATAAGAGGGACACTGAGAAGAGTAGCTTCCATACCGAGGGAAAAGCTCAGTGGCTGGACACTGCTGGACCAAAGCCAGCCCGACACCTTTTGCAAAAGCAGAGGCATGGAAGGAGAAACCCAGCTGCAGCCGCTGGATTTCCCGCCAGAGCAAGGGGGTCCTGCAGCTTCCATGGCATCCAATGGGCACCTCCACAGCCACACAAACCCAGCAGTCTGTTTCACACCGCAGGGCTCACCTTCTGAACATCCCTTCAGCACCTTCGCCCCAGCCACTCACCTATAATGCAGAGGCCGTCCTGCGCCCGGGTGAGGGCGACATTGATCTGGTTCGGGTCGGCCACAGTGCCCAGGTGCTTCCTCATCCAGCTCCTGAGTGGCTTTTTCTCAATCTCCAGGTGGCTGCATGAGCGTACGGTGGAGACGATCACGTACTTCCACTCGCTGCCTGGGGGCCAGAAATGGCAACAGTCCAATCAGAACAGGGCACAGTTCATCTTGGAAAATGCACAGGAAGAGGAAACCAACAGGATGACGGGGCTGCAGCTACTCTGCTATGAGGAACAGCGGACAAGACTATCACAGGTGGTTTGGTGTAGAAAAAGAGGAGCCATGACAGAGTGGTACAGAATTAGAAATGGCGTGGAGAAAGGGAATGGAGGAGACGTGTTCTCCCTTAATGCAGGGGAATTCCACGGATCTGATGGGGGGGAGGTTTAGGACACATCAGAGGAAGGACTTCTTCATACAGCATATACAGTAGTTAAACCAAGGAATTTGCTGCCATGGGAATTGGTGATGACCACCAATCTGGATGGTTTCAAAAGGGGATTGGACAGGTTCATGAGGAAGGAGGCTATCCATGGCTACTAGGCTTGCTGGCCATGTGCTCTCTCCTTCACCAGAGGCAGTTGCCTACACACGCCAGTTGCAGGGGAGCTGGGCAGGTGGAGCTCTCGCACCCATCCTGCCGGAGGGATCCTGCGGGCAGCTGGTCTGCCATTGTATGAATGGAGCCTTGGACCTGCTGGACCATTCGTCTGATCCAGCAGGACTGTTCTTATGTGCTCAGTCATGCAACTCACTGGCCTTTGGGCCAGGCATGAATCTACAGGGGGTCCAGGACTGTGCTTGCCCTGATGGGCAATCCATCACTCTCTGGGAGCCATGATGAGCTCAAGCCTTCTGCCCAACCTTGGGACTGGACGGGGGGATCAGCTTCTTCTTGCAGCTATCCTGGCCGTCAGAGCACCCCCGCAGCCTCAGGGGACCAAGGGCTCCATTTCACACTCTGCTCCTGAGCATGCTCCAAACATAGAGCTTGGGGGCTGGAGTCACGGGGGAGGGGGTCATCCCTGACCCCAAGCTGAAGGCCTCAACCGCATGGGAAGACCATCTGGCAACCACAGATCTCTTGCCTGGCTATCAAAGCCAAAATCTGTGGGTCCCCGTTTATTTCTTACCTTAACCTATCACAGAAGGGTGCTCTGAAAATAATTCATAGGTAGGGAGAAAATGCGCTGAGCATCTCAGTGGAAAAGCAGCATAAAACAGGCAAGTTAACTAGAACTGGAGTAAAACACCCTTTTTTCTCTGCTATCACATACTCCCCAAACCACTTGTGCCGAGGAACTGCTCGCACCCATCCCCTTCCAGCCACCAACTGCTCCCCAAAAATGCCGGGACTCTGTCCCTGCATTGCAAGACATACACAGAGGTTGCTAGACCTCCACTGTTAGAAATGCATCCCAGAAGAAGTGTGCTGCCAGACCCAGTGTTTGTGGGTTGTGTCCAATGTTCACAGGTGCTTTGATCTGGTTTATGAAGATGCTCAGAGGCAGCTTGTGCGCGGCACACTCACAACAAGCCATCATGCGGAAACCTGCTCCATTCAGCTGCTCCAGGATCAGAGCTGGAAGGGAGCAGGGAGACAGTCCAGTTCCACCCCTGTTCAAGGCCCTGCAGGGTACCGATAAAGCTTCCCTGACAGGTAGTTATTCCGTCTCCGCTGAAACACTTCCAGCAAAAGAAATACGGACCACTCTTCTCAGTGGGCATCCTGATACACCAGAAAGTTCAAAAAGGCCTACACGCATCCGCCAAACTCTCCTTTTCCCAACAGCCTCAGGGAGAGATGACCCCGTTCAGGTGGATTTATTCTTCAAGATCAGCTCCTTGCTGGAGCAAAGCAGAAGCTACAAGGCAATGCCTTTTGCTTTCTCGTTATTCTTCCTGAACGGTGGAGAGCAGTGGGAGAGCTGAGAAGATCAGCTGCACGGGATGACAGAGGAGACCTCGGAAAATAATTTGCATCAACATGGGGGTGGCGAAACGGGACATCTTCTGTGGTGCAAGACGGGCCCCCTGCAAAACGATCGCCTCGGCTGAAACACTGAGCCCTGCCATGCGCAACTCGCCCCCACTTACCTTGGCTTTTCATGATGGTGCAAACGGTTACATGGGGCAGCTTTTTCTGGGAAAGAAGCTTCTTGATCTCCATCACCTGGGCATTGTAGGGCGTCAAGATGGCAATCTGCTCGGGCTTGTTGAGCCCAGCGCGAGTCAGCTGCTGAGCTATTCTCACCTGGAGAAGAACAGGCAGGCACTGTCAAACATTCCATTTTATCCCAGCACGATCAAGAAACAGACAGATAAAACTTCATTACAGTCAAAGACCAGCTCAATTTAAAAAAAAAGAAATAGATATAAATAGGGGCCATACAGAACAATGATAGATCTATATACTGCTGTCTGACACTAATCCAACGTTAACATACAGTGTCGCTCAATTCTTTGCGGCCGCGATGGGTGTCTGAAGACAGATCCCGAGGGGGTGTGGTTCTTCCCAGCTGGACGAAAGACCAAGTCTGGAAACGCCTCTTACTCAAGATGACTGGCATGAACTAGGGTAGCAGAAGATTGTGTCAAAGTATTTACTATTTTTTCAATTGAGCTGATCTTTCACCGTAATAAGTTTCATCTATCTGTTGATCAAGAAACAGAGTGCACCGTGGGCAACAGAACGGCTTCCCAGGGTAGTGAATGGGGTTTTAACCCTCGTTACGAAGGTATTTCTAGGACACGTTATTTTGTCGTTTTTATGAACTGCTGCACGCTGTCCAGGGAGCTTCGGCTGTTGGGCAGTGGAGGAAGCATCCTCAACGCAACCGGGCAGCCACCGGAGAGGGACGGTTTGGCTTGGAGTCCTGCAATGAGGACTCCTGCAGTCAGGTTGGACCTGATGGCCCTTCCAGCTCTACCGTATTTCCCCGAAAGTAAGACCTGGTCTTATATTAATTTTTGCTCCAAAAGACGCACTAGGGCTTGTTTTCAGGTGATGTCTTATTTTTCATGTACAACAATCTACATTTATTCAAATACAGTCATGTCTTCTTCTTCTGGAACATCATCATAACTCTCCAGACTCCTGAATTGTGTTGCCATGGAGGTACTAAACGTGTCCGTCTGGCTGATGATCTTAACTGGGGCTTATTTTGGGGTAGGGCTTATATCACGAGCATCCTGAAAAATCATGCTAGGGCTTATTTTCCAGTTAGGTCTTATTTTCGGGGAAACAGGGTACTATGCTGATTCTGTGATTTCTCATTTAAAGGAATAGCAACTGTTCCTCTCCCAGAAGAAAAACGCTGCAAAGACCACACTCTGCCTTCACCCTGGAAAGCCTGCATCCCACGGAGGGGGTCCCACAGGATGGGCGCGGCACACACGGGTCCGCCAGCAAAACCTGCGGAGAGCCACCCTTGGCATTCAAACACCTCTGGACCAGCCATGCCGGCCAACACCGGATCTGCAGCTCCCAGGGCCCCTGCAGCCCCGCGTTCCACAGGCCAGGGCTCCCTCCCTGATTTTACACGATGACCCTGGAGCTGAGCAGGAGAAGTCCTTCTGTCCCCCTCTCTGGCTCTCATCACGGCAGGTGGGCGTGTGGCAGGGATCAAGCCTGCACCCTCCACAGCCCAAAGCTGGGAGGAGGCAGAGAACAGCTGCGGCCCTTTCCAAAGACTCCCCCGCACCTGCTGCCCCCAGGAAGATCAAACTTGACCTTCCCATCCCCCCTTCTAGTCTCTAAAAGGTAAAGGTTCCCCCTTGACGTGAAGTCCAGCCATGCCTGACTCTCGGGGGCGGTGCTCATCTCCGTTTCCTGGCCGAGGGAGCCAGCGCTTGTCCGCAGACAGTCTCCGTGGTCATGGGGCTGGCATGACTAAACACCGAAGTGCACGGAACGCTGTTACCTGCCCACCGAAGCGGCACCTTTTCAACTACATGCATTTGCATGCTTTCGAACTGCAAGGTTGGCAGGAGCTGGGACGGAGCAGCGGGAACTCACCCCGTTGTGCAGACTCGAACCGGCGACCTTTCGATCAACCAGCACAGCAGCACAGCGGTTTAAACCACTGCGCCACCTGCAGTGGTTTAAAGGGATTAATGCAATTAAGGGATTAATCTGGTCTCTAGTCATCAACAAAAACAGCCCCCAGATGTTCATCCTGTCCTTGAACTTGTGTTGCATTTCACACTTCAGTAAAACCAAACGATGCAAAGGCTGCCTTGGCCATCCGCCGTGCCAGAGCCGACGCACCGGGCTCAGTCAAGCCATGGCTGAACCGGGACTTGGGCTCTTGTCTCTGTCCACCACATGGGATTACTGATAGCCCAGGGCAAAGTGTCCTGGCCTATTTCTTCCAGCCCCAGAACAAAACTGCATTCTGGAGGAGCGTCGGGGGGTCCAAAATGCTCACACGTGTTGCCCTAAAGCTTTTACTGCCGTTCATAAAGCTTCGGAAAAGCATTTCAGCCAATTTGGGTAGGTGGGTGGGGGTGGGGGGACTAAGACAGCCAGAAAAACAGCCAGTGATTGGTGGGCCCAAAAAGAGGAGTGGGGGCTGCAGAGGAGAAGTGGTCCTTGAGGGCCTGAGATTCGACACACCTAGCCTGGTGCATTAAAGCAGGTCAAAGCCATACTAAGCTAAGCTGGGATTTAACTTTCTGCCTCTACCCACCAGGCGGCATTGCCAGCTGAGCAGATGGAAACGCTCACGCCCGCCGGGGAGGCCAGGCCGTCCCTCCCGCTCTGCCACTTCACTCACCACCTCGTTTGCTTCCTCCATGTTGGCCTGGGAGCTCTCGTTTCCCTCCTCAGTGGAGACCATTAGGCTCTTCTCCTTTCCTTCGATGTGGCCGAAGAGGATGGGGCAGAAGGGCCGTTGTCTGTGGGAAAGGATGCTGCTGCGACAGACAAGCCTGCAGGTCTGCAGTTTTCCATCGTAAAATGCCTTGGACGGGAAGGCACAGATCTCACGGTGCTGCGGGGACAAAAAGAGGGCCTGATCCTCACCTGCTGGTGATGGCTGAACACCACTGCGAACGCAGCTCAGACGTCTCGCCCCCACGGTCGCCCCTGCCCCCTTGCAGCCTCACCCGGCTCCTAGTTTGGAACGTTTCAGGTGTGCAGGCAAAATTATTATTCTGGTTCACATATATACTGCCTTTCCCCCTCTCACAAGGAACCCGGGGCAGCTTACAAGCGTCTCCTCCCCTCCATGTTATCCTACAGTGACCCTGTGAAGCAGATTGGGGCTGCGGGGCAGCAGCCGGCCAAAGTCAGCCAGTGACCTTCGCGGCCAAGTGGGACTAGAACCCAGATCCCCTGAGTCCGAGCCACTGCACCACACCAGCCAAGTACGCTTTGACCTGCACCGGATCCCCTGCCCATCGGCCTCCCGGAATGGCCCCTCTGGATCCTCATAGGATGAGACAAGGAGAAAAGTGTCTCCTGTCCCACCTTCGCCACGGATAGTTCTCTACACCCGTCTCTTGCTCCCTCTTGCTCAGCTCTTTTCCGAACTGAACCAACTCGGCTGTCCTACGCTATCCTGAACGTGAGCGGCTCCAGCCCTCGATGCATCTGTTCAGACCTGGTGTTCTCAGCTCAGGTGAGCTGGTGAGCTATTCTCACCTGAAAAACATATAGGTAGCCTCACATGTTCCATTTTATCCCAGCATGATCAAGAAACAGACAGATAAAACTTTATTATGGTCAAAGACAGCTCAATTAAAAAAAGAAATAGATTTATATAGGGGCCGCACGGAACAACAATATATCTAGTGCTGTTGGACTCCACTCGAGTGTTAACATACAGTGTCATTAAATGGCACTGAGCTGCCCTTTTCTGCACCTTTTCCCAGCTCTCCAGCATCCTTTTTCCGGTACCCAGGCATGGTAGTTAATGACTGTACCTCTGGATACCAGATGCTGGAGCCAAACAACACTCCCATCCCCCAGGTAGCTGTGAATTTGTGTTCCACCTTAACATGAAAGCAAGCTCAAAGCAGCTAAAAACCATCATGAGAATAGGAACACACAATCACAGAGAAAATTTGGTGCCTCATAAAAAGGAAAACAAGAGGAGCAGGTTAAAAACAAAACGATGCAAGAGCAACTATCCAAACGGGCTCAGCAGCTAAAGCGAGAGTCGTGTTCTTACCATGCGATACTGGATGTTAAGCATGTGGGCCCTGTTCTTGTACTGCTCGAATAAAGACTGCTGCATCCCCAGAGTCCTGGTCAGTTCATTGTGAACCACAGGTCTCAGCTGCATGTGGTCCCCCAGAAATACTACCTGGAAGAGAGAATGCACAGGGTGTTTCAGGTGACCCAGCGGGCTCCTCGCTGCACCGTGATCACAACTCCCAGAATGGAATCCAGGCCTTCTCCAGAAGGGAATTCCGAGGTCCAGCTGCCCGGCCCTCCCCGAGCCATGCAGCCTCATCACGACTGCAACTGGCCACCCACCCTGTTTATTTACATATTTATTTATTTAACACTTTTGCACACCATTGCAATAGTCTCACGGCTCCCTGGACAGTTTACATAATTAGGAAAAGCAACTGACAAAGCATAAAACTACATGAATAAATCAAAGTATCAATACCAATAAAACCATATAAAACAGTAACGCCTCCTCATCACAGCAAGGGTGCCCATCAGTTAATGACATACATTAACATAGCAGATTGGATATATCTTAAAAGATAACAGTTAAAATTCCAAAGTTCATTAGTTAAAATAGCAGTCAGAGTTAAACTATAAACCTAACACAATCCACAATTAAAATGCTTGGAGAATAAAGGTGGCGCCAGCATGTGTGCAAAGTCCCACACCTCCGAGGAGCCAGTTCCACCAACGGGGCACCATGACTGGGAGGGCCCTACACCGGGTAGCCACCCTCCTAGCTTCCTTGACGATCTTGGGGTCCAGGCAGGCCTATATGGATGGAGACGTCCTTTGGGTTATTCAGGTCCTAAACCAATCAGGGCTGAATACATTAAGATAAGCATCTTGAATAGGGTCTGGACTTCAGTGGGCAACCAATGCAAATCATACTGGCATTCTATGTTTGGTATTACTAGTCCCCATCAGCAGCCTGGCAGCTCTATTTTACACCAATCGAAGCTTCCAGACCGTTTTCAGGAGCAGCCTCGCGTTAGTAGTCCAACCAAGAGGGTACCAGGACATGGATTACTGTTGCCAGGTCCTGACCGGCCCGATACGGTCAAGGTTGACGAACTAGCCGGGGCTGATAGAAGGCGCTGAGCCCACTTGAAGTTCCAGGGACAGCTCAAGGTGCAGAAGCAGGCCAAGCCCCCGAGTGCAAGCCCGTCCAAGACAGGGCAAATATCCCCCGTATGGAAATGCGAGGCACCACTGCACCTCCGTCCCGTCTGGACTGAGCTTCCATTTGTTGGCGGCTATCCAGCCCATCACCCCGGCCAGACACTGCTTTAGGACCATCGCCACCTCACCAGGGTTTGATGAAAAAGAGAGGTAGAGATGAATGTCATCAGCATATGGATGACCCTTCAACCCAAACCCTCTGATGACCTCTCCCAGTGGCTTCATGTAAATACTGAAGAGTATGGGGAGCCTTGTGGTACTCTATGTCGCAACTGCCACGGCACAGAGCAACATTCCCCCAGGAATTGGTCAGCCAGGTAGGAGCAGAACCACCACAAAGCAGAGCCCCCGACTCCTAACCCAGCCAGCCTATCCGGAAGGATCTCCTGGTCAAGGGTATCGAACGCTGCTGAATGGTCCAGGAGAACCAACAGGGATGCACTCTCCCCATCTTTCTCCTGGCAAAGATCATCCCACAGGGTGACCAAGGCCATTTAAATGCCATAACTAGGCCTAAAACCAGACTCAAATGGGTCCAGATACTTGGTTTCTTCCAAGAGCACCTGGAGTTGTCCAGCCACCACGTGTTCAAGCACCTTGCCCAAAACAGGAATATTGGCCACTGGCCTAAAGTTGCTAACATCTTCTGGATCCTGATTTGTCTTCTTCAGAAGGGGCCTGATCACTGCCTCTTTTAACAGGGGAGGGACCAGTCCTTCTTTCAAAGAAGAGTTCCCAGTTTCCTGTATCCAGACATGTATTCCTTCCTTGGCTTGAATGACCAGCCTATTTGGAGAAGGGTGGGATGGAACATATCCAAGTATCTTACCCACATCATCAGGCCTCAATAACTGAAACTTCTCCAATAAAATGGGACCAGATCCTGCAATGGATGCCTCTACCCAAGTAACTACATTTAACGCAGAGTCCAACTTGTGTCAAATCTGAGTGATTTTGCCCTGGAAATGCTGTGCAAAACTCTCACAATGGGCTGCTGAGGGGTGTACCTGATCTCCCTTAGGGCCAACATGAAGGTGGCCGCAAACCACTCGGATCTGCTCCGCTGAGCAGCATTCAGAAGATGCAACGCTGGTGGAGAAGAAGGCTCTCTGCACCGCCGGAGGGTCAACCATGAGCTCTCCAGCGTGTCTGATCGGACCCAGCACACCTTTCCCTCCACCTGCGCTCCAGCCACCTGCCCACCTGCTTCACTGCCCGCAGCTCAACAGTGCACCATGGAGCTGATCAAGCTCTGCCTGGTGGAAGAGGGCATTTTGGTGCCAGGTCCACCCACTGGTTGGAAGGTCAGGTCCCACGAAGCAACCTGAGTTTCAACAGCAGCGCCAGCCGTATCATCAACCGTACCTTCTCGGCCTTCCTGTAGTTCACCATCGGGATGAGGGTCTCTGGCTCTGTGCACATGGCGCACTCATCAATCAGCACCTGCTTGACGTTCAGGGCCTTCGTCAGGGAAGGGGAGCAGGAGGCAGAGCATGTGCAGAGGATGACGTCGTGCCGCTCCAGTTCGTGCCTTCGGGCTTTCCGCAGCAGCTCGATGTACCTAACGGGCCCCAAGAAAAGCACTCAGTTCTGCCACAGCAGCAAGCACCCAGGGGTGCCAGCTCTGCTTCTCCAAAAGGAAAACTCAACTTGCACTCATGAGCAAGGGCCAGAAGGGAGCCAGGCGCTTCAACCCCTTTGCCCACCAGAAAGATCAATCAGTGCCCCCTGGCTGCTGAGAGCAGGCTTTGCCCACAAAGCTTCCAAGCAAGGCCTGGAAACATGTGTATTAGAATGCTGATTAAAATTTGATTGTTTTACCAGCTGCTGAAAATTGCCCGGAGACAATAAGGCCATTGCATCCAAGCCCCTGCCCAATGCCAGGCTCCAGGTTAACGCATCCTTAACAAATGGCTACATCTCCCAGGTCTCTAGAGCCTATTATGGCAAGTCCTGCACTCTGGAATGACTGGGAAGAGATCCTGGCCCTGCTCTAGGTGACAATCTTTTAGGAACTTGGAAAGTGCTATCCTGTCTCCCCTCAGTCTTCTCTTCCTGAGGCTAAGCATGCCCCGTTCTTTCCATCTGTCCTCGCAGGGCTTTGCTTCCAGCCCCTGGATCATCCTTGTTGCCCTCCTCTGAGCCCTTTCCAGCTTGTCCGCATCTTTCTTAAACTGCAGTGCCCAGAACTGGATGCAGGACTCCAGAGGAGGCCTAACCAACGCAGAGTAAACGGAAATTAGTACTTCACGGGATGTGAAAGTGATACTCCTGTTGATGCAACCTAAAATAGCCTTTGCCCTTTTTGAAGCCACATCACACTGTTGACTCATTCAGCTTGTGAGCTACAACAATTCCAAGATCCTTCTTGCTTGCACTATTGTTGAGCCATCTTATTGATTGATTGATTTAAAGTATTTCTGTACCATCTGATTAGCACAATGTTCTCAGAATGGTGTACAGAATACAATTAAAATACACCAGCATACCAATATCTTGTAATGATACATTTGCTTTCTTTTTCCTAGAACTTGGCATTCACAACTTGACTTTCATCCTGTTGCCTTCAGTCCAGTGTTTCAACCTATCAGAATCACTTTGAATTTTATTTTTGCCTTCCAGCCAGCCAACCAGATTCTGTTCCAGCTGCAATTCTGTTAAAGATTCCCTGCACCTTCTCATCCAGATCTTTACTGAGAATGTTGAAGAGCGCCGGGCTAAGGAGCGAAACTTGTGGTACCCCCTTCATTCCCTCTCCCCAGTTTGAGAAGCATTCTTTGAGTCCCATTCTGTAACCAACTGTGGATCCACCTGATAGGTTTCCACCCAGCCTACTTTTAGCTAATTTGCTGATCAGGAGATCATGGGGCACTTTGTCAGACACTTTGCTGAAATCAAGCTATACTGTGTCCACAGCCTTCCTACAGTCCATCAGGGAGGTTACCCAATCAAAAAACGAAACCAGATTAATCGGGCAGGACTTGTTCTTGACAAATCTATGTTGGCTTCTAATAATCACTGCATTGTTTTCAAGGTGTTTGTAAATTGACTGCTCTATAATCTACTGCAGAATTTTCCCAGGGATTGATGTCCAACTGACCGGGCAGCAGTTCCCTGGTTGTGCTTGTTTTCCTTTCTTGAAGAGGGGGACAACATGACCCCTTCTCCAGTCATCTGGCACTTTCCCTGTCATCTGTGATTTCTCAAAGATTAAATAGACAGCGGTTCTGAGAGTCCTTCTGCCAGCTCCTTTATGACTCTGGGATGGAGTTCTTTGGGCCCTGGAGAGCTGAGCTCATTCAGCCCATCTAGATGATCCTTGACCATCACCTGTCAATCTTGAGCTGCTGTCCTGCTCTACCAGCTTGTACTTCCCCTTCTTCAGGAAAGTCATAGACCTTCTTTTGGGAGAAGACCGAGCCAAAATAGGAACTGAGCACTTCTTCCTTTTCTCTGTCAGCATCATTTTGCCATCCACATTGGCCATCTGAAGCCCCATTTCTCTCCTCAGTCTTTTACTTTGGACATACCTGAAGAAGACTTTTTTTTGTTGCTTTAGCATCCCTTGCTAGCCTTAATTCATTCCTAGCTTTAGTCAAGGCGATGGTTGTCCCAGGTGCAATGTATGGCTGTGAAAGCTGGACCATAAGGAAGGCTGAGTGCCGAAGGATTGAGGCCTTTGAATTGTGGTGCTGGAGGAGACTCCTGCGAGTCCCTTGGACCGCAAGGCGATCAAACCGGTCAGTCCTAGAGGAGATCAACCCTGACTGTTCTTTAGAAGGCCGGATACTGAAGATGAAACTCAAATACTTTGGCCACCTCATGAGAAGGAAGGACTCCCTGGAGAAGAGCCTAATGCTGGGAACAATGGATGGCAAAAGAAGGAGGGGCGGCAGAGGATGAGGTGGCTGGATGGGGTCACTGGGGCAGTGGGTGTGGGCTTGGGTGGACTCCGGGGGATGGTGGGGGACAGGAAGGCCTGGAGGAATGTTGTCCATGGGGTCGCGATGGTTCGGACATGACTTCACAACAACAATCTTATTGCCACTTGTATGTTTGGCTGATCTTCCTTATCTATTCTGTATATGATGACCTCAGAATTTCATTGTAATGTTTGCATTCTGTCATTAATTACCTGTGTATGTGACTGGGAGAGTATAAAATGCTCTGTACTTGTATTGAAACCTGGCAGCTGAGTTTGCCTCTGCCCGGTATTGCATTATCATGAGTAAAACCTGCAGAGAACCTGGGCTTATGTCAATAAAGCAGCGGAGGTTTAAACCCAAGTTTTTATTTCCTCCTCACAAATTGAAAACCAAGATTCTGTCACTAGTTCCCCCGAAAATGCAGGCATATGCAAGTTATAAATTCTCTGGATTATTCCAGTATTTATATTGTTGTTCTGTGCCATCAAGTCACCTCCAGCTGATTTTGAAAGGTTGCCTCATCCCATATAGTGACAGATTTTATTTTCCTGGGCTCCAAGATCACCGCAGATGGGGACTGCAGCCTTGAAATTAAAAGGTGCTTGCTCCTGGGGAGGAAAGCGATGGCCAATCTAGACAGCATGCTAAAAAGCAGAGACATCACTCTGCCAACAAAAGCGCGTATAGTCAAGGTGATGGTTTTCCCAGTTGCACTGTATAGCTGTGAAAGCTGGACCATAAGGAAGGCTGAGCGCCAAAGGATTGAGGCCTTTGAATTGTGGTGCTGGAGGAGACTCCTGCGAGTCCCCTGGACCGCAAGGCGATCAAACCGGTCAGTCCTAGAGGAGATCGACCCTGACTGCTCTTTAGAAGGCCAGATCCTGAAGATGAAACTCAAGTACTTTGGCCACCTAATGAGAAGGAAGGACTCCCTGGAGAAGAGCCTGATGCTGGGAACAATAGCTGGCAAAAGAAGGAGGGGACGGCAGAGGATGAGGTGGCTGGATGGGGTCACTGGGGCAGTCGGCGTGAGCTTGGGTGGACTCCAGGGGATGGTGGGGGACAGGAAGGCCTGGAGGAATGTTGTCCATGGGGTCGCGATGAGTCGGACATGACTTTGCGACTCACAACAGCAACAGCTTTAGCCTCCCTGACTCCAGGCCTGCAATTCTGAACTACCTTCCTGTACTTTTCCTTTGAAGCCTCACCTTCCTCCTACTTCCTGCATGTGTCCTTTTTCATTTTTAGGTCACTTCTGGGCTTTTGTGAAGCCACACTGGCTTCTTCTGGCTCTTCTACCTTTCTACCTTGTTGAAAGTGTTTGCAATTGTATGTTTAGAATTTCCTTTTTTTAAAAATAAATCCCACCTATCCTGGACCCCCCTTCTCATTAGAATTGCTTGCCATGGACTTAGCTGATCATTTTTCAGCGTTTATTAAAATTGGCTTCCCTAAATTCCAGGGCATGCATTTGGCTGCACTTGGCTTTTGCTTCCTTTGGAATTAAGAATTCAAGCATGACACACTGACTTTCCCCCAGATTTCCCATAACTTCCACTTTATCCACTAGGTCTTCCCTGTTTGTTAGAATCAGGTCAGGGATAGCTGATCCTCCAGTTCCTTTCTCCATTTTCTGTAGAACAAAGTTATCAACAAGACAAGCCAGGAATTGTCTTTCTTGACAGGGCCGTGTTTGGCAGAATTTGTCTCCCAACAGATATCATGGAAGCTGAAGTCCCTGTTTACTGCTAGAGTAAGGACCTCCCAGGCTGAAACAACAGATTCAATGCAGATGGAGAAACTTTGAATTTATATGCCTGAGATGAGTAACACAAGCCTGCTCCAAACCTACATAATATATTCTCAGCTTTACATGTTTGCTTTTCCTTTCATGTGTCAGAGGAAAAGACTGACTGCATCTGCTTTTAATCGTCGTCTTTCATGCCATCCAAACTCGGGAAACTAGTTTGTTTATCCTATGTTTCATGAAAACAATCCAGGATGAAGTCAAACAAACCTATTTATTTAAAAGCAAAACCAGTTTTCTCCTCTGGTACAGAAAAGCGAACAAAAGGAAAGGAAGGAAGAGGGAACAACCCCAAGGTTCATGCTAGGTAAAGTGAAGGTTTCCCCTGCACAGGTATGCTAGTCATATTGGACTCTTGGGGCCGTGCGCAACTCTGTTTCTAAGCCGCTGAGCCGCGTTGTCCCAAGACGTTTCCATGATCATGTGGCCAGCGATGCTGCGGCACACCAAACGCTGTTACCTTCCCACAAGATGGTACCTATTTACCTCCTCACATTTGCATTTGCATGGTTGACAAGAGCCAGCACAAAGCAGCAGGCGCCCTGTCACGCTATCGCACACACAAAATGGAAGGACGTTATTTCCTATCGTATCTAAACCAGTCCAATGAGTTGCCATTTCCTAGGGATGTAGATAAGAACAGTGACAAAACCGAGACTTTTCCGTCTACTGCTTGGTGCAGCACTTACTTCTCAACTTCTTTATCCGTGATTTCCTCTCCTCTCCTCACTCGGTCATCGAAGGCACAGATTCTGCCAGAAAAAGGGTTTGAAGGCTGACGGATCCGATGGTGCAGAGTTATAGTCCTGGCAGAAAGGAGAATGTTTTAAAGTGAAAGTCTACATACTGACACAAGCAGCACTTGTGTGTTTTCTTGCCAATCCTTCCAGCGTCTGCAAACATAACAGAAGTAGACACGCTGCTCTTGGGGCTGCAAATTTACAAGGGCTTTGAGGAAGCATCTCTTTGTAACAAGATGGTAGCTTTGCTTGAACAAGATTCTCATGCTTCCTTCCAGGTACGTCCTACTGAGGTTTTGCCAGCATGACAGTTTCTTAAGTTTGACCAATTAAAATAATGATGATGAAGGCTGCCGTCTTAGTGGATGTTTACTTTTAAGTAAGCCCCAGTAAATCTAGTGGAATTTACTTCCAAATGAAAGTAAATCAGCAACAAAAATCAGCTGGCAGGCCATCATGATCACATTATCCAAGTTTTTGTTCTCAAATGTTTTTCACTGGTTTGGTTTGGATGCAACTTCAGCCCTTGGTTTGATGCTCTGAGGAAAGAACAAATCTAGAAGAAGGTTGAGGTTGAGGTTCATGTGTTCCCTGCTCACCTTCTAGCATGCTCTCTCCTCTTCCCTTCTGTCTTGCTATTCTCAGTTTACTTAGTTTATTTCTGGTTTTCAGCAACACACCCAAACCAGCAGACTTTGGTTTAGGCTTACTGCTTGAATCCAAACCAAGACTACACAACCACTGCAAGTCCTGCTTGCAATCTGATTTCCAAGGCCAGCACAAACCACAGTTTGTCAGTTACGATGCAACAGCAAACCATGGTTTGCAACACTGCAGGGGAGAACCAATTTAAACTGTGTACAAGAGAAGACGGCAAAGGAGCGTACGAGTTGAAGCTCCTCCCAGAATTGTTCTTGCAGCCGAACTACATGAGTTAATATTTTTAAATGCATTGTTTTCTGTAGAACGATGCATATTAAACGTACACCCCAAACTACAGAAAGAAACAGACTTAAAGTCAAATGCAGTTCAGAAATGACTGCATGTCTGATCAAGCAAGGGAAGATTAATTTCAAACCTGATCTCCGGCTTGGATTTTGTGTCTCGCTGGCTTTTCCGAGAGATAGTCAAGCTACTGCCAGGAAAAGGGTATTCCGTCCACTCTGTACTTTCTCCATATACTCTCAAGGGCCTTGGAGAATCCACCATGTGCATCAGCATTTCTGAAGAGGAAATGAAACCACTGCTCTGAAAATGGAACTCTGTTGCCATAAAGATACCTAAAAATTAGATCTTGTAGACACAACAATATTTCTCTTTTGGACAAGAAAACAAATCTTCTGCAGCCATCTTCTCTGAATCTGGGCCCCTAATGTCCCTGCCCTGCCCCCGAACATGTTGCTGTGAATATCCATATTTTATCTGTTCAATGGCAGATGGAGGGAGTGGGCAGTTGGTCTTGGAATCCAGACAAACAGCTGAATCCCAGAAAAGTAGAAAGCTAGCTTCGCTGGGGTTGCTGGAGAGGGCATTCACACTGGCCCCGCAGAGAAGAGAGGCTGTATCTTTGAAAATTATTATTATTCAGTTAAGGTGTTCTATTCCACCCATCACCAGACTGGGTTCCAGGATCACTTATAGGATTGTAAGTATCAAAAGTAAAAACTCCCAATGTGTACACACGCAAGAACATGCACACACACACGAAACCAAGCAACAGAGCAAAGCAAGCGGCAATATTATAAATGCTTAAAGTGCATTAACAACCTGGCTGGATAAAGGGGGATGTGCCTAGTCCCCAAAAAGAAAACAACACTGAAAGCAGCTGAGTCTGCCCCGTATTCCAGCTTCCCCATGGGTCCAGGACCTAAAAGGCCTCACTCTGGGTGCTTCCCATCTCACTCCTAACAAGGAAGGATTGCACAAACTTGCCAAAATAATATGGTGAAAGCTGTTCCTTTTAGGTATCAGGGTTCTAAGCGAGAAGTTAGGCGTTTGCGCATCGATGCCGGCACTTTTAATTTTGGCTTGGAAAAAAACAGGTGGCAACTGAGTTCTTTTAAGACTGGCAACACACAATCCAAATGGGCTGTGCTAGGAAAAATTGTGGCTTTGCTCTGCACCAGCCGCAGTTTTGAATACTTCTCATGGAGGTGAGGCAGCTCAGCACTTGGAAGTGCAGCAGGAACTGCTGGGAATTCAGGGCATGAGAGGGACTGCAGCCCACCCCCTCCCAGGGGGGTCAGGTTGGGAACTGGGACCTGGCTACCTGAAGGAGCGCTTGCGTCCATATGTGCCCTCCCGCCCCCTGAGATCGGCGGCAGAGGCCCTTCTCCAGGAGCCCTCCGTGAAGGAAATTAGGAGGGTGGGTACTCGGAGGAGGGCTTTCTCAGCAGTGGCGCCCAATCTATGGAATGCGCTCCCCAGAGAGGTCCACCTGGCGCCGTCGTTAGTTGTTTTTTGGCGCCAGGCCAAGACCTTTTTATTTAAATGCTATTTTAACCGTTAAGGTTGATTTGTTGATTTTAAACTGCCCAGGCTGTTTCCACTATTTTATGCATTCTATGTATTTACTGTATTTATATGTGGGATTTTAATGATTGTAAGCCGCCCCAAGGCTTATGCAAAGGGGGCGGCATATAAGCTGTCTAAATAAATAAATAAAAATAATAAACAGGTGGAGTAAACAGTGAATTATACTACAAAGATGGACAGAAGGAATAAAAGAGAGGAATCAGAGTCCAAATTGATATGTAGCAAGAGCAAACAGGTTCTGTGACTTATTAAATAATCATTAAACATGGCATGATATATTGTTGACCCCTCCGTGTTCACCAGTGCTCGTCTGATTCAAGTTTTTTGCCTTGCTACTGAAATGACATGGCTCTTTGACAAAGCAGATTAAGGGACCTCGTTATGAGACACGGAGCAGAACGAGACCTGGGAGCAGTGGGGAACCACGTGGCAGCCAACGTCAGGGCATCGGGAAGTTTCTTAGCACAACCAGGGAGCAACCAAACCTTTCAAGCAAAGTTACAGCCCAGCTCAGCAGAGCTGCAAAGCCCAGGTTGGCTATTTCCCAAGACTCAATCTTTTGCCATCAACAAGGACAATTACCGGCAACGACGTCAACGGATTTGTTAGAGGGGCCACAGTACAAGATGTGGCTCTCCGTTCTGGAATCATCACCCAGGAGGGGCTTCTTCCCTCGGCTTTCCCGGTTCATCTGGTGAAACCAGTATACAAGATGAACACCAACCACCGTTTTCCCAGTCCCTGGATCAGACAGACAGACAGACAGACAGACAGACAGGAGTGAGTGTCCAGCTGTTAGTTTATTATGCTGCTCAAACACGCATCAGAAAGTTACTGATGACTGTCTCTTACTTGTTTCACAAGAAATTACGAAGTGTGTAAGGTAGGCCTTACCTGGCGGGCCTTGGATAACACTGAACGGCTCTTTCAAAGCCTTAGCAATGGCTTGATTTTGACTCGGGTTGAGTTTCCTGGAGCTTCCTGGAAGATCAAAGCTGGTGCGTGTCCAGTGTTCGGAAAATTTTTTTCCTGTGTATTAACAAAAAGCAACAGCAAATCAACTCTACAACAGGCATTTGGAAGTAAACCTGCATTTGGGCTCTCTGAGAAGATGGGAAGTTAAAAACAGCAGTTCTGAAGGGAGAAAAAACTACTCTTGGTTTGGGGATTATGCCCAAGCGTGGCACAGCAGGTATCGCACAACTGGTATCTTGCACAACTAGTAACCTGATGGAAGAATGTGTCTTCTAAAGTGGTCCTCCACTGGCGGATTTATCCTGTTTCAACTTTAAACGGGGGCCATTCATGGAAGAAACCAGCCTTTGCCACCCCCAGGTGGGTTGGACTACAACCCACATCCTTCCCAGCCAGGATGCTAGCTGGGAACGATGGGAGTTGAAGCCCAACCATCAGCAGGCACCAGGTTGGCAAAGGCTAGATTAAATATTGCAATCCCAATATAAATAAACTTTATTTATTTATTCATTTCGAGTATTTGTATGCCGTCCCATCGCATAGCCTCGGGACAGCTTACATAAAATAAAATAAACATAATACATATAAAATCCAGATCCGCCCTGGCTGCATATACAGTATTTTTCGCTCTATAAGATGGACTTTTCCCCCCCTCAAAAGTAAGGGGAAATGTCTGTGCGTCTTATAGAGCGAATGTGCATGTGCCCGACGCCCAGGATGCTGCCGGCCCGCCTGCACCATGTGCCACCACCTGGCCGGCACGCGCTCGGCGCGCCCTGCTCCACCCCCCTCCCTCCGGCGCAGGTGAGAGCTGTGCTGCTCAGGGGGAGGCGTGCGGAGGAGGAGGAGCCGCGGCCTTTAACCCGCCGGTTGCATGGAGAGACGGACTGCTCACCCCCACCGCCCGGGAAGACCTGCCGCCGCACCACCCAGAAGACCACCGCTGGCACGCTGCTGGCCCGGCTGCACCACACCTGGCCGGCACGCGCTCAGCGCGCCCTGCTCCACGCCCCCCTCCGGCACAGGTGAGAGCAGTTAATCACAGGTCGGTGTGTGTTTTCAAATGGCAACCCGTCTTTTAATGAAGCCCATGGGGAAGTGATGGGGAATGTGCCTGTGATTATCAGGAAGCTTTCCATGGATCCCTCTAAAAACTAGGTGAGTCTTATGGTCAGGTGCGTCTTATAGATCAAAAAAAATGGTATAGGATTTCTATATGATTTTCTGCTATATTGTCTTTTAATGTAAACCACGCAGGGGGCCGTCCAGCGTGGCTGACCGTAACGCTTGGAACCTGGAAGAAGGTGGATACCTGGGCCTCCAATGTATCCTTAACTCCCCAGGCAACGCTGGGGGGCCACAGAGTTGTGTCCTTCAGGATTTTAATAAATTAAGCTGCATGCAAGCCTTACAAAAACATGAATACAGTCTAAGGATTTGCAGTCAATACTGAAAAATATCCAGTAATGGGCAACTTATTATTGGTGTAACGGATTGACCATGCCATTGTACACGTGTTTGCCTAAAAGCAAGCCCCACTGGGCTCAGTGCAGCTTACTCCCAAGTAAGTTCACCCCCAATCCCCAGTATAGGGTTGCCACTTAAGTGGTTTCACTGTCAAATCACAAAATCCATCAGTATCTCTTGGATAAAATGCATTTTCAAACACCGGGCCCCATTTTGTTGCCGGTGGGTTGATGAATACCTCACCCTCGGATTTCTCTCCCCGTACCTGTCACAGGAATCTTCTGGCGCAGCGCTATGGCCTGAACAAGCGCGTTTGCGTTTTGCAGGTTCTCAATGGCTCTCTCCGTCCGGCTGTGAGGAAAGGAAGAAAAGCTGCGTGAGGAAAGAAGTTGGATGGCACAGAGAGGGGCCGAACGCCAAGCAAGCTCCCCTTGCTCGCCCGCCCGCTGGCTTGATGGGCGGCCTGGGCATCTCAGGACCCGAGGGACCCGGCAAGCTTTAGGCAGGAACGTGGCTGAACTGGCAACTGGCAAGCTGCCGTGATCCTGAGGCCGCCACCATTACAGTGACAAGAAAAAGAAGCGAAGCCAACCGTCAAACTATTCTTGCCATGAGCCACCCAGAGGTATGGCTATCAGTGAGGGACTTCTAATCTATTAAACTCATGTCCATCATCCACG